TCTCTCTCTGTCTCTCTCTCTGTCTCTCTCTGTCTCTCTCTCTGTCTCTCTCTCTCTGTCTCTCTCCCTCCCTCTTCCTCTCTCCCTTTGTTTACTACTCTTTCCTAAGTTGCCAGTCTCCCTTACCTATCTTCACATTTACAGCTCTCTCTACCCAACATCTCTACAGATACCTTGTATCCAATCATTCAAGTACAAGAGCATCGATTGGGCCTTTTATAACTTATTGATGTAATTAATATGCTATCTCTATGTGAGCCTTGCTAGCTTTCTTTCCTCCAAATGCCAGGCAAACTAAGGTCCTGAAAATTTCAGGACTCTTTTCTCTTATCTCTTGCTTTCTGTGCCAAAATATATCCTGTTGTTGAGGCACTTTAAAAACACAACTAGCTTTACTTGGAAGGAAAAGCAAAATATTTAAATTATTTTTATTTAAATTAAAAGCAATCTTATTTTACATACCAATCTCAGTTCCCTCTCCCTCCGATCCTCCCACCATCTCCCCATTCCATCCCCCATCCACTCCTCTTGGAGGATGAGGCCTCCCATGGGGATCATCAAAGTCTGTCTCATCCATTTGGGGCAGGACCTCCCCTGAAACTGGGTGTCAGTTGCAGGGCTTGGGCAGTCTATGGGGCCACTGGCAGCAGAACCAGTATTTATCCTTAGTGCACAAATGGGCTTTGGGAGCCCAGTATGGAGAGTATGGAGGTATACTCTCTCAGCCTATGTATACGGGGGAGGAAAAGCAAAAATTTTAAATCTCACTTAGTTAAGAAACTATGTTCTTTTCTGAAGAGGAGATTTTATCAGTTTTTTTTAGATGGGATACATGAGCATTTGTGAATTTAATAAGCCATTTCCTTCTTCATGTACTAATGTTTCTTCAGGAGTTAAAAGACGATGAGTAATTTTAGGATGCTGACACCAAAGACGCCCTTCAGCTCCTAACACTTCCTAGACATGAAATAAGAAAAAAATATAATTTCTCCCATCTACTCACAGTGGCCCAAACCACTAATTCTTCAATTTTTCAAATTCTTAGACTTCTAGACCCAAAGAGTTGTTCATTGTGGCTCTGAAATATAACATTTTCACAAGCTCCTTGGCAGTCACGTCATATTGACCTTTCCAAAATGTAAGAGAGAGGAATGAGTATCGTTTCTTTAAATATTAATTTTCCCCTGTTGCCCTTATGCTACAGATAAAGAATATCCCTATTTCCTATTTATACATTAAAATAACATTTCAAATATTGTCCTATAGAAAGGGTTTTCTTGCTGCTAGTTTGATGACCCTCCTTGTTACTCTTACATGTAAATAAAAGTCACGGACTTATCACACTCTACTGAAATTTTGTTTTCTCCATAGATTAAAATATGGTGTTCATAAGGAGGAAGATCATACTGCCCACCTGGAACTTCCGGTCAGATCCGTATTTTACCGTAAATAAGCTTCAGATGAGCATGAGACCTTGACAAAGAATATACCCAAATTGAAAGCTTAAAAATACCAAGTTCTCTTGAGGCCATCCTGAAGAGATAGAGTCTACTGAAGTCCAAAACATGGTTAGGATTCAGGGTGGTGTATTTAGGATGTGACCGGTTGACTGGATGGTTGGGCAGTTGACTAATATAGATCGAATATTCCTATTACATCCCCAAAACATCAAAGAAGTATCACGGTTTTTTTTTTTTGTATTTTCTCTGATTTTAAATTGTGCTTTTATAGACACAAATGAACCATTGATATTCTCCAAGGAAATTTTCATAATTCATACTACCTTAGTGGTCAACAATATGCATGCATTCTTACTCAGTGGCCCACTTACCACAGGTACAGACTATCATCTGGACTATTGCAAATGATACAGTTAAACAAAGAGTGAAAAGATAAACCTTTCATGGAACCTCATCCCATATTCCTATCACTAAAGAGTTTCAAAATTCATCCACACCCATAATAAAGATAAAGCCTAGAACAACATCATTTATCAGGATTCCTCAAACCTTTATGACAGCTGATTATCCTCAGATTGGTGTAGGGTAGATTGCATCAGTTGTAAGTGACACTGCCATCTGCTCCAAGGACTTGATATTTTTAAAAGGATGTAGAGCTTCACAGAAGGCACTGCACCCTGAATAGGATGGGGAAGCACATTATAGCTTGGTATTCCCCTCTCTCCTTGTTCTTTATCAAGAGCGCAGACCTACCAAAATAATTATTTGAGCAGCAAGATTGTGCTGTACCCTGGTTGTTGTTTGCAGTTCTATCTGTGCTACCATGCCATAAGAACTTGTCATTAAACTTTAATTCCATTTAAAGGAATTTTCATAAACTGCAAAGATGAGTAGCTCTTGAAACAGGCTACAGGACATGGGGGAATACAAAACAAGTTTGGGCTCCTTAGTATTTTGGTCATCCTAATCAATGCTGCTTCTATGTTCATAGATCCCTAAAATCTCACCTTGGAATTCTAACCCCACTTTGAACCTCAAGGATCAGACCATAAACTCATTGATTCACATCCCCTCTCCAGACTGAAATACGAAATTTTCATGAAACACACTACAGAGAATTCATAATTTTTATCTTCTCTGAATTTTTATCTCTGCATGGGCATCACTTGAACAACCGAACTGAGTTCTGAAGAATCTAGATGAGCTCATGCTAGAGGGAAGGTGTTATTTTGGGAACCGTGTATTTTTGCAAGATCAGATATATGCAAAAGGAAAGTCATTCCCAGAGAAAACCTTGTACAATCCCAAGCATAGGCCTTATTGTTTCTAATATTGCAAGAACACAAACAGAGCTGCTGTCACATCTTTCCAAAGCCTTTAGTTGCTTCGTCACTCAAACAGCCATGAAATCCAACTCAGAAAACAGTACAAACTCTTGTTCTCAGCAGTGGTTGATTGTGCCTTTTGGAGAGATATGGAAATCACTGCAGAAATTTTTAGTTGTTTCAACTTATGGTGAGAAGGAGCCTTCAAATGGTAGAAACTAGGAATGTTGCTAATTTTACAAGACCAAGAAGAGTACCAAACCCAAAAGTGTCTGATCTGAAATAATCAGTATTGCTGAGGTCTAGAAACTGACTTACAGCCATGTATCTATCAACAGATGCATCTATTATGCAAGATTCTAATCCAAACATGCCATTTTCTTCTTATGTTTACTCCTGATCCTTGATATCACCATACATGAAATCAAATGTTCTAAAATGTTTCAATTAAAAGGAGTTTTTATTTATTTTTGCTTATCTTGCTTACCTAGATTTTATTTGAGTATCATTTTAGAATCATGAAGACTCCAAACCCTTTAGTTATTTTTCACCCTAACAGCCATGAGATCGAAGGTGGACAACATAAACCAGAAAGATCATGCCTCCTATTCAATACTCAAATTCAGATGGTAGAATAATGAACAGTGAGCCACTAAGTTATTGAATGTCTTCAGTAGGTTTTACACACAGATGTCAGTTTCATTTTGTGATGACTTTCAGTACCAAGCATTCTTTTCCCTTCTGTTGAGAAATTCCCCCTGCCTCATCTCCCCCAAATTAGTTACTGGTTTTCCTGGCCCACCTGCTGTGGTTCATCCCTAGCAACAAACATCAAGAAAATAAAAATGCAAAACTATAAATACTACTTTACAGATGCCCTGGAATGAATGCTTCACTTTTCAGTACCACAACACCTACTGCCAAAACACAAAATTATCTTGAAGCTTCCCTATCCATATTATATAGCTTCCAATACATCACCATGAAGAGGTTGACCTAGAAAAACCAAAACAATCCGTGCTACACACATCCATGAATAATGAGATCTGAATGAGTGCTTGCTGCACACATAAATTGTACTTATCCAATTACTCTTCTGGTAAAAAATAAAATGGAAAATTGCATCAAACTTACATTTCAATGTTGGTATGCCACATATAAATACAAACTTAAAGTATATGTTAAAAGGAAAAGGTAAATTTTAAAACAAGATATTTAGACATCATATGCTTGTGCTCCTGTAAGGCCAGTTTCTCTTTTTCAAGTGGAATTTAATCATTTTTATATTGTTATTGTTTTCATATGCTCCAGGCCTTTGAAAGTGTTTGGGGTAGAAACTTCACTCAATAAGTGTTATACCCTCATTCTATTTTGTATCACAGCATAGTTTTGAATACTCGTCTGAAATATAATTTTGGACATTCATATTTATTTTCGCATTTATATTTAAATGCTGATTTACTCATTCTTTAATGCAACAACTTTAATGTTTAAAGGCACATACTCTGTGGCATATGTATGTACTCTAACTTAAAAAAAAAACTTGTGATGAGGTTAGCAAAACATTTTAGAAATAAATTCCTTTATACGTGGCCTTTATGCACCCTGACTAAGTCATTTTCATTTTTTTTTTCAGTAAAACTATAGCATCAAGCATATGCTATTGGGCATGATGTCATGTGCATCCTCAAAGTTAGCAATTACAGAATGACCATGAGGTATTTCTACAGA